CATCCCCCCCCCCGCCATACAGGTGAGTTTTTGCACCATACAACACTGATGACTCCCCCTTCACTGCTGAGCTAAGTATTTCCCATTAAAAAGTTGGTTCTCACCTCATTTGGTTCCCCACAGCAAGAGTTTTCAGAGCACCTATGCTTTACTCAACCCAGGGTAGCAGAGTCTTTTGGGCTTTGTTCTGGGGCTTTTTTTGGTATGAACATGGAACAGCAGGTGAAAATACACCTTAGTTGGCATCTTGAAGAGGACAGCCCAGCTCAGATCATTTCCTTGCTCTCCACACTCACTTTGTCACTTTTCTACCGTCTTCTATTCAAGGCAGTTTCTAAGCCCCTTGGTCTCTGTTTTGATTTACTTTTCCCGCCTCCATTTGGCAGTGCATTTTTTCCTACCTTATACCTCACTCCTGTTCACCCCATTCCTCTCTCTGTGAGGCAGAAAACCTTAAAATGGTGATCTCGGGCCTGTCTGTAGTATGTGGAGGTTAGTATGCTCCCGTATACCCCTAGGGTGACAAAAATTGTGTCAATTTTATCTTCCAGTGAATGAAGACTGGTTAGAGGGGCAGTGCAACGGGAAGATAGGCATCTTCCCATCCGCTTTCATTCAAAAGTCAAACACTAAAGACCTGGAGATGTGATTTCCAAAGAGCTTAAAGTCGTGGACCTGGAAAGAAACTAAGAATTCAACTGTTGCAATTAATAAGTGTCCATATTAATCATCGCATCTGAAAATGAACTTTAAATATAATTGCTACTTGTATTAAAAGCTTTATTTTTTATTTTAACTTTTACATTGTTCTCTACAACAGGTACTTATTAAAAAGTTGCTAATTGTCTCCCCATTAGGAATATATTCAGTCCTAAAAAACATGCTTACTGAGAGACTTGCTCTGTCCCACCTGCCCTATCCTTAACAAAGCTTTTATACAGACAAGCCAGCAGCTGGGAAAACCCACGAGAGGGTGGTGCTGCTTGCATTTACAGCCCCGCCAACAGATCCAGAAGAGGAACTGGTGTTCAGGAAGCTATGCACACCAGGAAAGGCTGAACTTCCGACAGTATTTGCTTCCTTAAAACATCACTGCCAACCCCAAGGGCTTAAACAAGAGATACGGCATAGCCTCACCCTTCTCCAATTGACTTCAAAGCCCCCTACCACTAAAAGTATATGCATCTTTTTCACCTTTAGGAGCCGTATCTCAAAGCTTTCTCTCAGCAGTCAGAAGAGACAGCAACTTAGACAGACACTGTCTGGAGTCGCAGCAGGTCACCCTGCAGCAAAGTTGTCCCCTTTACAGAAGCCTACACAACTTTGATGCCCGCTTCCCTATCCAAGAGGTTTGCCCCCTCTGCCCTGGGCACTACGTTCACAGTATTTCACCTTCCCCAGCTGTGACAGCTGGTCCTTCCAGCATTTTAAAGTTATCTACCCTGCTCGTCCTCAAAACATGCAAGCTGTAGATACAGCCAGCCACCTACAGCATTGGGAGCGCTTTGCTTCGAAGGTGTTAAGGGCAGCGGTTTCCCCACTTCGGATCCTATCACAGAAGTTCTGGACAGTCCCACTGTCCCAATAACCTAAATATCATATTTATTTTTAAAGGAACTTATACCAAAGAGCTACCTGGCTACAATGAACACCTGTCCTTTCAAAACCAGAACATCTCTGTAGTTTTCTTTGACGCATTTGGAAGTACGCTGTTTAAAAACTGGCTGCTAACAGCCAACATCCCCATCTGCGGGCAGGTCAGAAGACAGAAGGATCTGTGTCCTCCACCTTCCACTGCCTGTGCTCTCCCAGGCCCGGGTTCAGTCTGCAACTGAAGAGCAGCTTTGCAAGCGACTCCCATCCCAGATTTTTGGTTTGGTACGTAAAACGCATTGCTGGCAGGCAGCAAAGCCACAATCCAGTTATCTGCACTGACCCCAAGCCAGAATCTCTGTCATTTATTTAATTATCTTTCAAACAGGAGGGGGAAAAAAAAATAATAATAATAAAAAAAAAAAAAAATCAACTTTAGACCTTCTTCTGACTTCTCCAGAAAAAGAATGCATTTTTTAAGAACCTGCAGCCAAGTTATGCAGGAAATAAATGCTACACACAGACCTGGATGGAGAGAACATGGTTTAATTAAAGGCAAAGCTGATTTCAGCAGCTGCAGTTCTTGCACAGACAGACAAAAAACACAAAAAAAGCTTATGACACAAACCAGTTTCTGTTGGGGGCCCCTTTCCCTGCACCCCTGGTGTCAGAGGGCGGTAGGGGAGTCCCAGCCGACAGTCGGATGCATTCCCGAGGCTGGATGCTCATGCACAAGTGGAACGGTGCGGCTGGGACCCTGGCACTGCCGGGAGTGAGATGGCGAACCTGGTTAGCTCGTCTAGGGTGCAAGAGTCAGTGACGGTTCAAACACTGGAATGTCGCAGCTGCCTGGGTGCACAGCTCGATACACAAACTGGGAGGGCTGGAGGGAAGCACAGAGGGGTTTGGTTCGTATTACCACTGGGTGGGAACTTCACTCTTTGAAGGAAACACAGCTTCGAAATGCAACAAAGAACAGTGATGTTGCTACGGTGTAGATCGTGGGGGTGCTGCTCATACCCCCAAGAGGGGTATCGCGTCTCCTCCGTCTTCCCTTTTTGTATTCTTTGGGGCTGCCCAGACTCCAGTGTCACTTCGGCTCCTGCATGTGCTTTGCTCTGCAGCTGACTTCCAGCTCAGAGATCCTGAATCATCACACAAACCCCTACTGCTAAACACAGCAAATGGACATTGCGATTGTTTCCATAACTTCCCTGGGAAACCTAACGAAAATGCTGTCCTTTTCTTTAATGAAGCTTCCAGTCTTCCTTCCCCCTAATAAATAGCAAATAAAATGTTTTCCTTTTCCCTTCTGCACCTTTTCATCTATGAACAGCACTATGCTTTCTTCCGCGTGTGCGCTACACACGTGTGTCCACGGGTGCCTTGAATTTCATTCTGGAACGGAAAGTTTGGGGCTGCAGCTGGGGGCGGGGGGCGCGGGGGGACGGGTTTCTGCAGAGCTGATGCGTGCTTGCGGGGGTGCGTACACTCCGCACTGTCCGAGCCGACTGTCGGCATTACCCAGCCCTGCTGGACCCCTGATTTATTTTCTGCGAGATGTTGCACGTTGGTAATGAAACTACTAGCGTCCAGCGAAGATGGGAGGATGGAGAGAGAAAGGAAAAAAAAAAAACCAAACCAAAAACCATTGAAAGCTTTCTACCTACCTATTAAAATGAGTCAGGCTGTGAATGCACAGACTAGCCTGCCCTTTGTGGGGCTAGCCACTATGCTACAGTAAAATGTACAGGAATCAAACATTAATTTAAAACCCCATAGCAGTTAACTTGCTTGTCCAGCAGAGTGCTGCAATGCCCCATGTCACCGATTATAGCTCAAACACCTACTGAGAGGAGGGCATTTCATGCTGGAGTCTCTAACCCACCCACAGGCTGGCCAAAGCCTTTGGGGAAAGGTGAAGTGGTGCCAAGTGCCAGACTCTCCTTCATGAAACTCCTTCGCTAGCCCAGGAGATAGAGCCCCACCTCACCACCAACCACCTCTGACTGGAGCAGCAACTGGGGCTTTCATTGCTACACACTGACTACGAAGCACGTCTGGTACGGAAGAATTCAGTGTGATCTTACTACTGAGATAGTAATAAAGATGTTTAGGAGTAATTTCAACTACATTCTCAGTCAGCAAAGCAATCATTAATGGATTCCTATTTTATCTCCCCAAAGAGAGGAAAAGGATTGAGAAGTTCTCATCGGCTTCTCCCATCTGCCCTTCATTCTCAGCTTTTACTTCCCATGTGGCTGGGGACATGCACGATGGAGAAGGTGAGAGGCGGTGATACCGGGTTACTGAGTGAGACAAACAGCAGTTCCTCTCTCCCTCCAGAGGGCCCAGGGATGGGAGAGTTCCTGATGTTGTTTTCTTGCACTGCAGACGTTTTGTGCACACTCAGTGGTTTGGTGGAGCACTTACGCCCTCCTGACAGCAAGGAACAGAAGAGAGGGCTGCCACCTGCACAGGACTGTGTGGGCCAGTCCTGCAAACCCAACATGCCATGGTTTATGGAGCCTTCGTTTGCAAGGGTTGCCACCTCTGTCTCAATGCGGCGGGTTCATGGTGCCTTGTCCGCGTTGCTGCTTCTGCTTCTGCTGCATTAACAGCTGCTCCAGGGCGGAGGGTCCAGGGTGCATCATGGAACTGGACCAGATGGACTAAAAGCAAAGAGCCAACACTAGCACCTCCTTGCGTTAGACACCCCGTCCCCAACAGATGAGAAAGTGGAGACAGTTTTCTGTATTCTCCCTCTTATCTTTATCACCCACACCTGGCTTATCATGAAAGTTATCCAGACTTCAAAGAATGCCTTCTAAAGAGAGGCTCCCTGGAAGAAGCTTATTCTCTTCCAGAATCCTCATTACCATAAAAACCCATCCCACATGAACAATTACTAATTTTAGACTAGTCAAAGCAAACGTTATAATTTCTTCCAGTTCTGCCAGCCCAGTCTTGATCAGCAAAATATTCTAGAACAGCAAGAACTGGAAAACTGTGACATCTTCCAGCACTGGGTCACACCTCCCACATTGCTGATATAAGTGCATCTGCAGGAAAAACCTTTGGTTTCTGACACTGAACTCCAATGCTTGCAATAGGCTAACGCCCATCACCGGACCTTCTGGCCCCAGAGACAAGCACCCGTTCCTGAGCACAGTTTCAGTCAAACATACCTTCAGGCTCTCCATAAGCACAGCTGAGGAGTCCTCCATAGCAGGAGGGCCTTGGGCTGCCCAGGTGCCACTGGGAGCACTGGACTGGTGCCAGCTGCTTTCTGAAGATGACGATGTTGCTGGGAGATAGTCCAGACCAAACCCTCCCATTGCTAAAACAGGAGAAAGACAAGTTCAAAGGAACATAGCAAAACCACTGCAAAACAAACACCATCAGCTGGCTTCACACAAGCCTGGGATCTGGCACTTGCCTGGTTTATCTGTTTTCCAGCGGTCTGCAACTCTCCTGTCTCTGTTGTCTGGAGTCCCAATAGGTCCGAAGTTGGAGAAAGGAACAGAATTGTGGTTATGGGTTGGAGGGGAGCTTGGCAAGCTGCTGGGGTTGGAGGAGTGAGGAGACTGGCTGGCTGGTGTCGAATGATCTAGTGATTACAAGGCAAGAGGAAAAAGGTCAACAGAAACGGCAAGAGCCTCCCAATTTTGAATTTCTTAGTGCTGCTGCAGAATTCAGCCATCACCCAGTTTTCTCCAATGCTGAAGGTCGGTTTTTATTCCCTCCATTACGTGAGCATAATCAAATTCTTAAGTTCTGAGGGAAAATTTTTGTGCATGTTCAAGAACAGAATGACTGATTAATACATGTTTAATGCATACACATGCTTACCAGAAAAAAAACCAAAACCCACAAAACCTCAAGAGGGCTGGCTAGCCAATGTGAGTTTTCCCCATGTTTCTTGAAGAACTTTTCTCAAACTAAAAACAGTATCTGTCCCCAAGCTTAACAAACCGATAGAAAAATGACATTAGACCTTGAGGAGTTTGCAAGTTTACAACGCAAACTCCCAAGTCTGTGAATGTTTTACACTTCTATGAGCCTTAAAGCAATTCAGACCAGAACCCAATATTGAGCAAAAGAGGCCAGCAAGCATGGAAAATCCTATCTGCAGGCAGGAGAGAACAATGCCTGAAGACAACACAGCACGGCAGGGTGGCAGGAGACTATGTGGTCTTGAATGAAGAGGCGAAGGGAGAGAAAGCTGAAACCATGTGAGCCATAAACCCTGCTACAACAAAAGCACTTTGCAACTCCTTCTATTTCACCCACAATGGTTATTCCTGGTTGGTTGCAAAAGTCTTAGTGCAACCAAAAACCTCATCCAGTGCAGATGTTATTTAAAATCCACTAATTTCTTAGATTCAATTAATTCCTCCCCTCACACTCTTCTGGATTTTTAGTGAGAATAAAATAATGACATAATAGTTATGGTTTATGCCTTTAAGATAATTACTAAGGAAATATCTGGTTTGCTTTGTAGGCTGCTTAACAGAAAAAAAAAAAAGCAAACCCTGAAAAAACCCCCACAGTCATGTTTTCCTCCATGCTCTTCAGTCATATAGGTTTTTTCTCTTTCAGATATCTACATTATGAAATCCAGTTCTTCCTGCTTTTTCCAGAGAAGCAAGACTGAAAGTACATATACTTTCATGTATATACATATACAAGTAGAGCTTGAGTTAAAGCTCTACTCCCAAACACTTGTCAGAAATCTAACTTGAAGAGATTTCAGGATTTAACACCACCTACAACTTTTATCCCGCTCAAGTACTTCAATTAATATCCAGGTTCTTATGCTATTATTAATTACAGTATCCCCTTATATTTCTGAGGATACATAAAGAAAAACAAACAGAAACCTTCAGACACCTTGTCAAGCAGGTATTTTTTTTAATTTCCAATTACATTTAACTTGCAGTAGGTTCCAAATTAACTCAAATTATCTTAAATCACTAGACACAAGAAAAACCATACCAGGATTACCTGAGCTGGCTGGAAGGGATGGAGACCACGGAGTCCCTTCAAAGAGAGAATATAGTGAAGTCTCCTGATGGGCAACCGAAGGGGTGACTTCTGTTTTTGTGCTGGTATTCATGTTTTTCCCATATACCTCATTGAACATGCTGTTATTTGGATATCTTTCCTGCAAAAAAACGAATGTAAGAGTTTAGGTACTGGATTTATTTCAAACACTGTGACTGTACAAAGGAAACAATTACAGATCAAAGTATTTTCCTAACTCCTTTTTCATTCCCCAGTTCCCTCTTCTTTGACAATTTTATTTAACATTAAGTCCATCACATTCTGAATCAGTACAGGTTTCTCCTGGCTGGACTGCAAAGCCTTCACAAAATCTTTATGTTCCCAGTACTCACAATTGTATCAAGACCGTGCTCAGTTCTCTGGAAGAGAACAGGTAATCTATTGCTCAGCAAACAAAAACCTACACACCGTAACACTGAGATGCACCTTATCAGTCAACTACACAATTCTACTAAGAGCAAGGGGCCCATGAACTCCGGAAGATTCAACAGTATGCCTGCAGAACTATATCTGGGATAAATTTGGGAAGACAACTGATAAAGGCAAAAGTAATCTAGCTGATACAGACTGAAATTAAGCACCCATATGGATTTCTTTCAGGTTTTCCACTGGTGTGAACTAAAGGATATCCCTGTATTTCTGGCATGTTACCTAGTTTAATGGCAAGCTCAAAGAGAAAATGGGTGCAAACTCTGGTCCTCACTTACCTGATTAAGAGAAAAGCCACTGAGGGACAGGAAAGATGATGACTGAGACATCAACTCTGATGGTTTTTCCAGCAGGGACTTCTTCAGAAACCAAGAAGGGAAAAAGAGCAGTTAGTGTTCACTGTAGTGAGCAGGAAGAAATACGCTATCAGAAACTGCCAAGGTCATTTTGGTCACATTTAAAACCCTTCCTCGTATTTTAGCTTCAGCATCTTGGAGGACAGGAGGAACAAACTAACAAATGCAGAAAATCAGTACTTTCCCTCCCAACTGTAATTAATACCTAAAAAACCCCCACCAAATCACAATAGCTGAGAGTCTCAGGCAAACCCCAGTGCCAGAATAGTTTTTCAAATCATAAGTGTAATACTCCATCCAATACATCTAGAGGGAGATTTCCTGCCAAAAATCCCCTATGGTTGTGTAAAACCTTGTACAAATGAGAGGATCCTTCCCAGTGACCAGAGGATCCCTTCAAACATGATTACTCTTGCATGTTGCTACTGAGAGAATATTTTTCTGTTTTGAGAACATTCCT